ATAGTAATCGCGTCAGCTCTTGTACCTCGACAGCGCTTGTTTCGTCTCACGCCCGCTGCGCTCACACGTGTAGCACCTCGACCACCACCCGTCCAACCACACTCTGTCCTCCCAGTTCCGGCAAGCTGTCCCTGGAACGCACGCTGCCAGTCTAGCTCGCAGACCAAGCATTGTGCTACGCGTCCGTTGGCGGTGCCATCCCTAATCTCGTCAAGCCCCATCGTCGCAGATCGCTGCGTCCGCTAGGGCAGCTAATAAATTCAACATGGCCGGAATTGCCATGCCACGACACAGGGCAACACAGTCGCAGTCTGGTATCGGCTCACCGCTCTACCAGCGTCGACAACACTCCAATGCCGGTCCCATCGAGCTCATCCCCAACCCCGAATTCTCTTTCCCCATGCGAGGACCAGACACCGCGTCTTCAGAGCCAGCGTCGACGACATCGCGCCCAATGTCGCTGCAAGCCTATCCAGCGGGCCGACGAGGCTCCATGCCGCACCACAGGCAGAAGTCAATCAATGCTTTGCCCGACTTCTCCTTCAATCCTGCAGGACCAGCCAAACCAGCCGCCGAATCGTCACCACCACAGTCACCAGCGACACTACCTGTACCTGTACCCGTATCTCCCTCAAAGCCGACACATGGCCACAGGAGGGGTGGAAGCGAGTTCATTGGTGGTGATGTGCGACCCGGTGGTACTGCATTGATGAGCAGCAGTCCGATAAAGGGAGAGGACGCTCTTCCTGTACCAAGCTCGACACTACGCCCTGGCCCTCCAGCCGGTCGTCGGGGACACGCTCACCGTCGCTCAGGCGCCATCTCTTCTCACGACCTGACTTCGATCATGAACCCGCCCGTTCCAGCACGAACTGGCAGTGCGCCCAACACACCCTCAGAGGGCAACCAGTTCGCTTTCGGCCACAAGTTCAACAGATCTGTCTCACAACCATCACTCCGCGAAAACAGTACAGAAGATGACTCGAGTGCGCGACCACCCTCAAGGGCTCGAGTTACGTTCTCCGATAGAATCGAGACCATCCGCCCCCTCTCAACCATCTCTTCTGAGACTGAAATATCTACTCTTAGAGGACACTCGGCCGCAAACAGCCTCTCCTCCATTGTTAGCGGTAACAGTCCAGCACCCATTCGACCTGGACGTCCTACGCCACTTAACACTATTGGAGATGAGGACCGACCAAGCACAGCCGGGAAGGTGCTGGATCAGTTCATGGGCACCCGTCTCAATGGCGAAGTCCAGGAACGCAAGCGGCCTATGTCTGCCATCTCACCCATCTCGCCAACTGCGCCCATTCCGAAAGTGCAGGCCAAGCGACGGAGTCTCTTCCAAAAGGATCCTCGTCGCAGCGATAGTTCAGTTCCCACTCTTCCTACCAGCGCTTCCGATCCTGCACTCTCCAAATCCTTCGACACACCCCTTGCATCACCCGCCAAGGACGACCAGTCAGTAGAAATTGCCGAGAAGCCGAAAGCAGCTTCGCGCAAGAGTGGTCGCAAGCCTCGAAAGGTCAAATCATGGGCAAACTCGATTATCACTAGAAAGGGAAAGCACAGCAAAAAGTCCAAGGGAAGGTCTCCTACACCACCGCCAAACGTGGTCATGGATTCTGAAGACTCGGATGAATCAGAGGAGATGGATTTCGAGCCCAACTTTGACGAGGACACCACCGTTACCATCGTCTCTCCGACCGAGAATCCAGTTTCGCTGCCGAAGATCGACACCAACTATGCCTCTTGGCAACCACGTGAATTGAAGCGTGTCGATTCTGACATTATGAGCCCAGTGATCGATCTTGATGCAGCACTCGGACCGTTTAACACCCCCAACGGTACCAGCCCTCGCAACCACCAGCGTGGTTTCTCGGCCCACAGACGGGCCATGCACAGTGCTGGTGGTGTTGCACCCTCGCACCGTAGGACCGAGAGCGCTCCTGAACTAGTGCCATTCGAACATCGACCATCAGCGATTGCGAACGCCTCCCCCATGGCCGACGTGTTCGAAGAGGAGGAACCAGAAGACGACGGTCTCACTCTTGCTGTTCCAGCAAAGAGTGCGATGACAGAGCCTGCTGCTGCAGACGCTGAGGAGCCGAAGATATCGGTCGTTGAAACAACAGATGCGAAGCAGGTAGGAACTGCTATCAACTGGAACTTCAACGATGGCCTTGGCATCAAGCGTACTGCGAAGCAAAACGAAGTTGATTCATCAGAGCCATTGTCTCCCCGAGCAGTTCCGCCTGTTGAGTCGAGCGATGACCCATCTCAGCAAACACAGACATCAGAACCTGTCGAGGTTGTGGAAGATCACGAGGAGCCCCGAACATCTTCGCTCACACATTCTTCCGACTCTACCGTTACCGCTCAGCCGATTGAAGATTCGCCGAAGCATCATCAGCCTGTCATGAATTTGTCCCTTCCACTAGGTCAACAGAGTCTCATGACACCCGACACCGTCACTTCTTCGTTTTCATCACCAGATTGCCGATCCAGTCAGATCTCATTCGATACTGGCCGTGGAGGCACCGCGGCTTCGTCAGTGACGGATTACCCTGTGATGCCTTCTCCCCGCTTCGGCGAGCCTGGACCTGAAGTTCGCATCTCTACAGAGGTTCCGTCTCTGACTTCATCTAGGTCGACGATGACCAGCGCAATGCAGAACGCTTTTCCGCTCCCTAGTCCTCGTCGGTTTGGTGAACGCACGTCGTCTTTGTCTTCTGATCCTAGTGAGATGGAATCACGTCGTCGCAAGCGCTCCAGTATTGCTAGCCTGTCAAGGCTAATGGGAACTTCGTCGTCTTCCTTCAGTGAACGCAGTAAGCTATCTATCGAGCAGCGTCCACAATCAGAACACCGCGAGCCGACCAAGGACAAAAAGAAGAAGAACATTGGAAGCAGACTGAAGAAGTTCTTCCAGCACACCAGAGACTCTTCCCCATCGAAGACCTGAAGTGTCATCCTCATTGTCACGACTTGCACATCTTTGGCTTTTGCCTCAATTCGACGACCTGCAGTTTGCTTTCCAGTAGCTGTATCTTGTTCATATGACATTATGGCTGTGCCTCAATGAGCACAAACACCACCTCTTTTCTCTCGCATGACCACGGAGTTTACAAGCGATGATTTTTTTAATGGCGCATTACCAACCTGCGATGCATACGCGAACCGGACTTTTTCTTACTCTCATTGAACAGCATCTTTTCTATTATGAGTACTAGGAGGATGGGTATCTAGGAATCCTGCGATTTGCATCTTTGCATGGCAATGGGGCATCTTCTGGCATACTTTGACTGGTTTCTCCCAGCGGCGGTACCGATACACCGGCCGTGGTTTTGTTTCCTTTGATCAAATTTTATGGGAGGGTATACTCTTGTTTACACCGCCCGCACGCTCTCTCAGAGACGTCGATACTGCTCTTTGGCAGGCATGGCACGACAGGACTCTTTTCTATATTTTCTTAACAGTCGTTATCACGAAAACAGTACATACATCATAGTATGTTGAAGTAAGCTGAGATGGTGGGACATGTATTTTGAACATGGGTGAGAATCTCGTTGGGCAATCTGTACCCTGAGCTCTTGAAAGGATAGATAGTGGATTGAGCTGGATGAATGGCTGCGATCTTGAAAAACAATCAAACTCTGAATCACATAGGTACTCTTTTGCCATGTTCTTGTGCCTCTTGTGACTCGCTATTCTAACAATTCTACCGAGATAGCCCGTTACATTGTGACAGTGCAAATCTCGCTTCATCCATCGCTTGCTTGAGTCGTTGCAATATGTGTCTAACGCCAACATGCCTGTCTACTACTATCTGCTATCAGTCCTTACCCGACCTGAGGAGAGAGAACTGGCCACCAGCTCGTGGGGAGCCGTTATCGCGCACTGGCCTCTTTTTCACAATCAAATCGACACCATGTGACAGCGGGACGAGGAAGTGAGGAGGTTCATCTATCTGCCCCGAGCGAGCCGCCGCACTTGCATATCCCGCACTTTCTTCGTCACCACCTGACCGATTAGAAGCGAACCGGCCGCTCTCACCTTAGTCATGCAACTGCTATTGCATGGTCTCCATCATGCTGAAACTTCGGCGTGATCATCGTTGTATGAGAAGGATCGGAGTTCATCGTAATATCACCGGGTATTATGCAGGACCGTTTTTCATTTATTTGTTCGGCGTATGCAGGGCATGTGCAAGACGAACGGCTGCACTGACGATCGGTTTAATTTGTATACACTGTCGCGCTGAGTCGAGGTGCAAGGCGCGGGTTGCGACGTATGCAGGTACGAGTCAAGCGAGGCGGGTTGATGTTTCAGATTCTGGAGGCGGGATATGTAGTTCATGTGGAGGGCGTTTTACTTATTGGAAGCGAAGGGGTGGATGAGGCTGTGCAAGACTGATGTTTGGCCGAGCGTTGCTAGGGGAGACGATGATTTGTGTGAGTTGCGATTGTATGATGCAGCATGGAGAAAAAGAGTGTGTCATGAAAGGCGATATGGTGCATGGCAGTGTCCAGCAAGGTACGGTGAGAAGAAAGTCATAAGCTAGAATGAACCTATGTCTCGAGAGTCTCATGGAGGTTTTTTGTAGTTGTTGAATACTTACCGAACTGTGTGAATTAAAGATATATGTACCCTTGGACATATCTTACATGTCCATTGTAGGTCTTTTGGTAAACCATTTTTGAACTCTTCCCGGGTGAACAATGGGCTTCCGTACCTCATCTGCTATCAGTAATTGATCTCACTTGTTAATTCGTTTTCTAACGATAGCGATACTGGCTCATATTAGAGATATAGTGCTGTAGTTGTTCGTTGTCCTCGAGTGATTCAAAATGTGACTAGTCTGGGTCTGTGTTAGCGTGCTTCCACAATGCGGGCAAGTTGGCATCACCGAGTACTCGAGCTCCCCGCAACAGCCATACAATAGCTCCACAGCTACCTCCGAACCCTCAACCCAATAACCACGATCGCGAAGCAATATGGCAGACGAAGAGAAAGAAAAGGCAGAGAAGATCGCAGCGGCGAAGAAACGCGTGCGTATTTCCCCTACACGTCCTACAACCCTCCAAGACAGCTGCCATTGCTCAGATGCACTTGGATCTGATTCCTCTTCGCGAACAGAGTTGCAACATCATCGCTTCTAGAACTAGAGAATGAGCTAACGCATGTACAATAGTATGAGCAATTGAAGAAGAAGACAAAGAAGGCGGGCGGTGGAAAGAAGAAGGAAGACAAGGCAGAGGCACCCGCTGAAGCAGAAGCCTCTATCGAAGCCTCCGCCGAAGCGACAACTACCGAAGATCAGTCCGAACAAGTCGCGCCAGAACCGGTAGAAGCTACAAACGCAGCGCCGCCGCCAGAGGAGGACGATGACGAGCCGTCGGAGCTGGCTGTGCCCAAGGCAGCACACGGCCGCAAGCCCTCAGTCGCTGTCGAGTCGCGACAGCGATCTGAGTCCTTCTATCGCTCGGGAGCCGCTGGTGGGCCTTTGTCGCCGGGAGGAGGGGTCACAAGCGAGGTCTACCGGGAACAAGCACAGAAGATTGAGGAGCTCGAGAAGGAGAATAAAAGACTCGCAAGCGAAGTTGAAGAAAACCAGGAAAGATGGAAGAAGGGTGAAGAAGAACTGGAGGAGCTGCGAGAAAGCAGAGGAGACGTTGCGCTTGCAGTCGAGAAGGGCAAGGAGGCTGACAAACTGGTAGGCATCTGAGAAAAGGTTGACATGTGGGACAGGATACTGACATGCAGGGTAGAAAGCCGAAGTCGAATCCCTCAAGAGACAGCTCGCGCAGGCGCAAACGCAAAGCAACAAATCTATTCGTCGTACATCGACTGCGTCACCCAGTCAGAGCGCATCTATCGATGATCTGAATGCGCAAGTTGCTTCAAAGTCTGCGACTATCGAGTCATTGGAGCTGGAGATCTCGAACGTCAACAGGCAGCTCTCGGAACAGACCACTAAGAACAACGAGCTTCAGTCACAGATTTCCAGTCTGGAATCCGCAGTGCAAAAGGCAGAACAAGAAGCCAGCTCAACGAAGACGGAGCTAGAGGAACTCAAAGCAAGTTTGGACAAAGCCGGGGATCAGGCTGAGAAGGACGGCTCAGATCGCGACTCTGCACAGACGCGCATTGCGCAACTAGAAGCTGAGTTGGGCACGGCGAACCGCAAAGCTTCAGATTCAGTCTCGCGCGCTGAGTTGTTGGAGAAGAAGATTGAAACGCTCACACAGCTGCATCGAGACAATGACACCCGAAACCAGACGCGCATACAAGAGCACAAGAAGATTGAGCGAGAAGCGACAGAACTACGGACTCGCATAACAGGCCTCAGCAACGAGAACGCACGTCTTCGAGAGGCAGAGCAGCGCCGCCGCAAGGCTGATCTCGGTTCTATCGAAGACTCAAGCGTACAAGAACTTCTGGACGAAGAGCGCGACCGCCTCCTCGCCAAGGTCCGCGAACTCGAGGAAGAAAACTTCGAACTTCGCCGAGGCGTATGGCGCGACCGTCGCCAACAGATGCAACCTTCTATCGACGACCAGGCAGACGCCTCACATCCCTACACCAGCACCAACAGCTTCGACGACATTGACCTCTCTGGAGCGCCATCCCGCCAAGCCCTCCCCAACCGCACACGTTCTTCCTTCCAAGATGTCATCCAATCTGGCATCTCAGCCTTCACCGGCCAGAATCCTGCGCATCGACGAAGCGATGCTGCGAGTAAGCCGAAGCCTAGGCAAGAAAGTCTGGGTAGTCTCGATGAATTCGAAATTGATGAGGATGCATTTAGGCAAGCACAGGAAGAGGAGGCCAAGAAGAGGCTCGAGAGGGTTAGGGAGGTTAAGAGAGGGCTCGTGCAATACAAGGGATGGAGACCGGATTTCGTGGATGTTAGAGTGGGGATGGGTGGTGTCTTCGAGATATGAGTCTTGGCTTGTAGGTAGACATGAGATTACGGGGATTATGTATGATCAGTACGTCCGAGTAGTCACGGACGAAATGCACATATGAACACAGCCGCCGTTTCGGAGGTGGCTTGTCAATAAGTGGACGTATACACGTAGGGATCTACAACCAAGCTAACGTCGGTAGCCTTTTTTTTTCTCTAGCAGAATCACGTCATGCGGCTTTTGTGGTTTGCGATGCTCTTATCTCTTCATAGACGCTGCTTGTTCACGTTTCGGAGTTCATTACTGGCGAGGCAAGAGCGATGGAGACATGAGACAAAAGCATGTCGTTCACGATTCACACGCGGCCCTCTAGCATGGACATACTGTCACTGCTCTTGGATTGCAGAAGGTCGGATCTTCTTCTCACATGGAAATTGTCCAAGTCATCTTCCGCGTACATCTTGTGATTGGATACAGCTTTGTACAAACTATTCTCGGCGCAAAGTCCATCGGTGCGATTCTTATCTTGTTTGAGAAGAGAGAAACAGCGCATACCTGTGCATACCATGGCTTTTAGTAACATTTCCCGTTCAAGGACCAGTTTTAGAGAAGATGTGATATCAATTCGTTCCAAGAGTGAAAAGGAAGCATACATTGAGAGCCGATTTTGTGCTCAACAGCCACGAAGCTCTCCTCATGTGCGCAGATATCATCTTTTCGAGTAGTGAAAAGTCACGAGGTCTCTCGCATGGAACATGCATGTCTGTCTCATGTTACTCTATATACATCTTTTCACTAGATGAGCGATCGGACCTGCTTCTCCGCCGCCATGGACAGGTACCGGTGATTTTTGGAAGTGGCGCAATAGCACTTGGGGCTTCCTGGGATACACGTTTAGACACACAGAACAACGATAGTGGAATTTTAGTGAACTGGTCACAGGATGTATGCTAGAGAAGTAAGAAACTCGAGGGAAGAGGGGAGTTGTAACCACGGATCCGACAATAGGTGATCCGACTATCGTCGATTGATGCATGTCTTTCTAACAAAGAAAGGTACAGATGGAATTTACACACTTTCATTCAGTTATGTAAGGCAGTGGTCGTCTCTCTCTAGTGATGGCACGAGATTTTGAGTAAAGTGTACGGCGAGTGTTTTTGTGCGAACGTAAGGTGGAAGAAAGTAACTCCTGAGGCGTTTCACAGCACATATAGAATACATTTTGCTGATTTCTTCTTTTCATAAAAAGTTGAGCTGTATACCTTCGTTACATTGAATTAACGAAGGAGAAGTGTAAGCGGTTGTGTGGTTGTTTGCTCCATGTCGTGCCTCCATCAGTGATATCTTTTAGATTTTTCTTCTCCGTGGAACGAGTAGCATGATGATCAGTGGGGACTATACTTTGAAGATAAGGGAGAGAAGAAGAACAGATGTAACTACATGTGTTCTGACATGTCTTCTCTTCTCAACGTCCTTTGGAAAGAGTCGGTAATTTCTGGTGTACCGGCCAGATACGCTGTAGTGAAAGCAGAGAAAACCTGGAAGAATGGGTAACTCTAGATTTTGAACAATAGGAAGCCGTACTGTCTGAACCCTACACTTCGAATATTATATTTTTGACTTTCCCAGGTTGGTGTAGAAGTCATATTTGGTAATTCGGAATGCGTCCCGACAAGAGACCAGAGAGCGAAAGTCGTGACATCGGGGTTAACTGGTGTATTTTTGCAGATAAGTCTCATGGAGTTGTGTTTCTTTTCTTGCTTGAGCTCTACAAAAAGTGTGGCAAAGAGGGAAGAAAGAAGAGCAACAGTGATTATCCGTATACAAGTACGCGAAGAAGCGTCGGAAACCAGCGCAGAGGAGAGATTTATACACATCATCTGCCACAAAGCGCCGCTTTCCTTCGACAAGATCAGCATCTAGAAAATTTCTATGCTCACCTTTTTCGAGGAGACACAAAGATCTCACGAGACATTGTAGTAGTAATTTTGGACCATATGTGGGGAACTTTCTCTTCTTTTATTTCTTCCAAACAAGAATCAACTTCGGGTATCGCATAGGCTCATCAATGTTCTGGTCGAGCTTTGGAGTCAATATCCATAGCTTATTCATACATCGCTGGGCGTTCAGTTTCATCCAATGATACCTGCGGATCTTTGGATTCGCAAAGCAGACTACTAGAGAAAAAGTGCAGATAGAGGAAGCATGACAGACTTTATCACCATCTTGTAGCGTACCAGTAGTATCAGCCGCTATGCGGGCATAACACAGGCGCGTACTGTGTGACATGTTTTTTCCTAAGAAGTGTGAGTTACCACGAACTTTGGCAAGAGCGACAGACAGATCCGCCATACAGATTTGAAGCAAGAGCGATCTCGCGATCAAGGGGCCACTCATCCATAAGCGACGGTATAGGCTTTCTCACAGCCTTGGTGACAAGTGCGTTGAGGCGAAGGGAGGACTAAGAGATGGTGGTTTGTGTCAGTAGGACTTCTGCTCGTTCTCATGGTAATATGTTGTGCATTTCCTTGGTGTCAATGGTTATCTGATAACGCGTGGAGACGATGTCGTGGTTATCTGCATATATACAACGATTAGATTCTTAGTTTACCGCAAGAGCACACCATGCCTGCTCTTACAGGAGTTTTGGAAGACGGGAGTTCTGGGGGAAGACATGGGGTATGTTTACTGAAGGTTGAAACTTATAGGTTCTGTGTGCTCAAGAGGCTAGGAGAGCAGCATTCCCAGTAACAGCGCGACAACACCGTGGAATTAATAGCCGTACCTTTGGGCGCAGGACTACGCCAAATGTTATCACAGGATTGCAAGCTAGTTCTCTTTTCTCGAGCAACACAGAGATACACATGTGATGATACAAGAAACAAGAAGCTTGTAAGTGAACTTGTACACAAGCCGTCGCTGCCAAACCAGCACAGCCGTGGAGGACCTGCTCTGAGAAGCTAAATGAAAATGCGGAGCAAGTTGATGGAGGGTGAAGATACAACTCAATATGGTTCCGAGAGTAGACGAAGTGCTTGATCATGTTGCGATCTTTTTTGAGAAGCTATGCACGTGATGATGACATTTGGAGTATACCATCATGAAACAGTATGGAAAAGAAGTCAGATGAAGTAACGCGTGAAGCATTAAGTCATTCGAGCTGAGAAATGCCTTTGTGTCTGCACTCTCACTGCCGTGTAAGCAATTGATGACTTTGCATTACTCATTAGAAATATTACCGTGTCGTCAAGGTCATCAATGCTGATCACCTATGCTCTTCATACTTCTGGTAGTACCCCCTTCTTCGCATCAGTCTAAGCCGCACACAGGAAATCTATGATGAATCGCAAAACCTATCCATAATGACGAAGTAGGCCGCGACTCGCTGTGTGATATGTGCGGCCACTTCCGCTCCTAAGCCATGCCGTCATACTATCACCTGCTCCCTAGGTCGATCAATCAGGCATGACCTCCACACCCCAGGTCGAAACCCTATCTCTCGCCCGAACATCGGTATACACATTCTCGCATGCACACTCGATACCGGTTGTGTGAAACTTGAAATCAGCACAAGAAGAGGACTTGGTGTTGCGTCAGCAGCTGCGTAACATTATGCAAGTCATACAACAGCATGCAGGAGCTGCAAATGGTAAGCCGTAAATCAAGTCTCTATTCCGGACATCTCTTCTTCGACTTTGCCATCGACTTGGCACAGATTGAAGTCGTATGTTGTAGCGAACATGCTCGGACAATCTATTTGCGACAAGACGAATTGCCGTTTGTAACAGATGCGCGAAATACAGCGCCGTGAGGTTACATAGCCACGGTAATAGATCCACTTGGTGGGTTCGCGGAAAGCTAGTAACCTGTTCATCTGCCGCTGTTGAGCCGCGGGCTTCTTTTCCTGGTATAGACAAGTGGATACTGTGTGGAGATATTCTGGGGGGCGGAGGGAAAGGGTTTTTCCCGGCCGGCGTGGGGTGTTGGGATGCGGGATGAGAAGACTATTGCCGCTATAAAGAAAGGTACCTGTACGTGAGGCAAACTGAGTTCTTGAACGAAGGGTGAGGCGACCGGAAATGATTACAGCTGTCAGACGCAAAGTTAAAACCTAAACGCGCAACGAATTGGGAACATGGGGACAGGGGATAGGCGCAAAAGCAAAGAAAGGGCGTTTTAAGCCACATATTCGGGAGTGACATACTAGGATAGACCCTAGAATGTTGAGTGGCTTTTCTCAAGGAAGAGCTTGCGGCGAAGTGCTGACATCTGCTCCATCTGCATGCTGTAGCGAATGTGAATTTGCAGGAACAGCCACCCGTACGCCCGAATGTGGATAGACGCCCCGTATAAGCTGAAGAGTGATTCCTCAACGTTTGCTTTGACACCTAATTCAGGATCTTGAAGACGCATCCCGGAACCGGATGAGTGAAAGACCGAAAGCTTACCAGAATTGGAGGTGTCACAAGCACAACGACTTGCGGACTTAAGACGCTGTATCGGCTACGGCGGAAGAGCTCCAGTTGTGACCTATCGGAGAATAGCGACGAAGGTAAGCGGTAGGTTCTTCTAGGCTCCCACTGGGGGGGTGAAAAGTACCGCACATTCCTAGAGGATCGTTTCATTGTCAGTACATCCGCTTGGCGCATGACGTCGATGCTGTTGATTGTATCGTCTGACTATCTGCCAGCAGAACGGATAGGATCGAGTCTAACCCATCAGTTGCGTCTAGAGACCAAGGTACAAAGCTCCAGTCGCGAAGCGGTAGTGGGTCGTAGGAAGCGGCGAGGTACGTACCAAGCGTGCACGTGAGACGCAGACTACTGCAATACTAGCGTCACTGCAATCGCGCGTCAAAACCCACCAGATCTAGCTTCTCCTAGTGGTGTACAGTCAGTAAAGGGCTTGGCGTCAGCAATATTGCGTTATATTTGGGCGCTCAACATCAAGCCTCGAACGACTGTTATAATGTGGGGTGATTTTGGGTGTTGCCAGCGACTGCTAGAAGCGAAATGAAAACTAGAACAAGAGAGGGT